CTTCCAGTACTATCTAAAACAGTTAATGTTTAAAATGACAAAAACATCATGTTAGGTATATATTTTGAACTAGCACTGTCATAAATCCATCTGAAATGTTTATTTTGCGTATCGAAATATGTTAATAAATAAATAAATAAATGAGAATTTGAAACAAAAACATGCTTGGGTGTCGTGGAACACTCGGTTGGAACGAAATTCCTTTCGTAGTATATTATTATTGATAAACGTATTATATTATTGATTAACAAATAAAAATAAATGAATTACTAGCGTCTATTAAAATGAAGCGTCATTTAAAATAATATTTCTTTCATGGCAAGATAAGAAAAAGTGCGAGGGAGATGGATATTATTCCATCGCGCTAGCACTTTAGAATATATAGGTCGTGACGGAAAAATTATACACTTTTTCTCGCCTAGCCCCCATCCGCCAAATTCGTACCGTGCGATAAAGAACTTCGACCCAAAAATAGAGGTATGCTTAAAATATCCCATTTTGTTCATTCCCATTTTATTAATTTTATTCTTAGTTTTTATTCCGTTTCCGTTAACCGTTATAGCCTCTTAAAACACTAATGCTTAACATAGTATAGGCCTCACCCATAGATTGCTTCATGGAGAGGATAATTGTCATAATCACCAGGCTTGGCAGACGGGTCAGCAACTGCAGTTTATTTTTTATTTTTAGCTGTAATATTGCGAAGAGGCTGCTGCCCATCTCCTGGTTTGTTTCCTTCTGTCGCCGCTTACCCACGGACGAAATGGGGTTGTATTTTTACACCACCACTACACGGTTTGTCTGAAATATTACATTTTATTCAATTTATATCTAAAATTTTATTAAACAAATTAATTACAAGATTACAGTTACAGCTCTATATAATGTGTTTAATCGTTGGTGCCTCTGTTGGTGTTACCCAGTGAAAATTAATAAATACATTTTATTAAGACCGTAGAGATGAGAAATTTTGGATATTCGAACAAACTCTAATTTAGTAAAATTATGTTATATTGATTTTTTTATTTATTTCTTCACTTGTATTTATATATTAATTTTAAGTAGCGAAGATGACTTGTCTACAAAAAGAAATATTACAATTATATCTCAACATTTTAATATCTAGTTTGTAGTTCGAGTTAGTTTACAAAGGTTAGTCAAGGAGACAAAATGAAAATTGACTAGCGCTGGCTGAGTGCACTCGGCATTTTCTTGCCCCGTCTCCAGCACGAATAGGACCCGTTTTTATTTTTCCAGACAAAAGGATCTTATGAGTTTTAGCATTGTACGCGCAAACACGCTCTTGGGATTCCTGCCACCTTTGTGGAACTTTCTATTGTTACGCAATCCTGTATTACTTTTTAATTTAGATATTTTTTAATTTTGCTTTGAGAGCATGACCAAGTGCTCGGCAGTGATGGAAAGCATTGTGGTTATGCTGCAGCTATATTATGGTTGCAACACGAATAGGTTGGATCGATCGAGAAGGTCCACACTCTCGTAGATTACTAGCGTGAAATAATCTTAAGCGATTATATCACGCTAGTGCTGCTGATTTTCGTGTGGTGAGTGTAGACAACCGGAGACCTTTTTAACTGGTAAGAAGTCATTCTTAGTTCTTAGAGTTTAAAACGCATCTACATTGTGATTCTTAATCTAATCTATCTATCTAATAATAGAATGTAGGTATCTATGGGTCTGTCACGCTCGTTATATAAAAATTGGCCAAGTGCGTGTCGGGCCACGCACAATATAGAGGTAGGGTTCCGTAGTTTCCCGTCACAATACGTGAGCTTCCTTGATGATCAGCATAATAAGTGACTTCGTGGTTTGACCGCTATAACAACTAAAAATGGGCCCAAACAGGAAGATCTTATAGAAAGTGATATCCAAAACAGATTAAAAAAGCTTTTCGATTTTGATAATAATAATCTACTAATACAAGCTATTGACCACCCTAGTAGAAAATATAACTTGTACAGTAAGCTACGTAGTTTAATAAAACATACTAAAAAGGTTATCTCAACGTACTAGTTTTGAAGTTACAGACCAAAACTTAAAAAGAAAAGTATTTTTTTAACAAAAAAAATTATCTCATTATTTTTTTGACAAATTTCCTGCTTGATATCGTAGGTTTTTTAATTTTTATTGCTAGTTGGAAAAGTTGTAGACACATCCGCCGTAATGGCATCATATCATGCTTATGTTATGTCTACACTTAGATATGGTATTATGTTCTGGGGTAATTGTACGGACAAAGAAACAGTATTTAAAGCTCAAAAAAGATGCTTACGAGCCATTTGTAAAATTAACCAAAGTGAGAGCTGTAAGCCATACTTCATTAATTTAAAATTATTAACAATGCCATGTCTATATATATATGAGGTAGTCTTATTTATACGTCAAAACTTAAGTTTTTACGAAAAACTAAATGTCCAGCGTCATAAAGATAAATTGAGCCATCCCAATAGTAAGACTGTTTTGTTTCAAAAAAGCGTATTCTGTATGGGTCCTCGTCTGTATAACCATTTACCTAAATATATAAGAGATTCTAAGAGCCTTCACATTTTTAAGAAACAACTAAACACATTTTTAACCAATAAAGCGTATTATAATATTGACGATTATTTATATGACAATTTTTAAATTTTATCTATCAAATTTATTGAACGAAACGTTATCTATGTTATTAATTTTGAAACAATAATTTATACTCGTTTTGGTATTATTATTTTGACATTACAATTTTAATTATTACATGTATTTTATCATTATTTTGTGAATTATTATTATGTAAGTAGTGCAAATATACAAATAGGGTTATATTATGTTAATGTAATTATCGGAATTTTCCATTTAGTTTTAATTATAAATAAAATCTTATTTTTAAGTAGTTTGCACACCGGAAGGTAGAATATGGCTGTATTTTGTTAAATTATTTAAGACCTATTGTAACCCATATATCGCAAATGAATAAAATGAATTGAATTGAATTGAATTGAATAGTTAATCTTTCTAACTTTCAAATAAAACTACTTTAAAAAAAGTACACCGTTTACTTAAAGAGAAAATAATTTAAAACCGAAGGATGGGAATTTTACCAATAATAAAATTAAAAAGCTTTTATTTTTTAAATAGTTTACATAAAAAAATTATCGATTTTTTTACTGTTAATTTTATATCTAGTATCCGCACATTTCGTTTGATCAAGTGTAAAATTAACACATTGTATATACATTGTGTAAAATTGAACGTGGTTACGCCACGCTGCAGCTATATTATGGTTGTTGCACGAATGGCTCGGCTCGACCGGGGTGTAAAATAGCAGCTTAATGCTGTTGTGTTTCGTATGATAAGTGTAGAGAACGGGAGACTCTTTTTACTGAAAAAGAGGAACTCCATCTTAGTCCTCAGGGGTGACAACGCATCTGCATTTTGATTCTTAATTGAGAATAAATGTAGATGTCCATGGGCCACAGCACCCACTTACCATCAAGTGGACTGTGTGGTCGTTTGGCACGCTACTCTATAAAAAAAATAACATATTAAATGATTAAGGATAAAAACTCTCCTTTGTAGATTGCTGTAGCATTCCGTTAACCTTAAATGAAACTCCATACTTTAACCCCTTGATGTTGTTAAATTTACCTTGCCTTTAAGGGATAGAAAGTCGAAAGTAACTGTAGATAAAGCCACTTCAGAAATTTATTTTCAAGAGTTCGTATTCACGTATGTTTACACGCGTGTTATTCAAAGTGTCGCGTGTCGAGGAACTGTCGTCGAGATGGGATATAAGAGTGCGGGAGTTGTAAAAGTTTCGACAGGTAAAACAAATAGTAACGACTTGGATGACGGATATAGCGCTCTCCGATCAGACCAACCGAACAAATAGTTGCATTTTTGAATTCTAATGGTGACGTGTTCATTTGTTTATTTATAAAATAAAACGGTTGCATACATCTCACTCCGTTCAGTAATCCGTCAAGCACTAATCTCGCATGTAAATGAGAACGATGATTATGATGAAGATGTTATATTTAAACCACGGCGACAAATTCAGACGGTATTGAAAGATATCAACTAGTGTTGCCTCTCCTATGGGAATTACCATATTCTACTTAAGCAAAAACAAACGCACATCTGAATTTTATATCTCAAGTCCTTACATATGAAATTGGCGTTTTGTACGAGAGGAATATAAAGTCAATTTTTTTGGAAAATATATTTCATTAATCAACGTATGCACCGTTGTTATTTATGCACTTTTGCCATCTCATAGGTAGTTCATTGATCCCTTTACTAAAAAAAACCATGGGGACGGTTTGGACTGCCGCATCGGAATTGAATTTTTTTACTTGTAAGAAGTTGTCCAAATTCCGGAAGAAATGGTAATCTGTTGGAGTAAGGTCCGGGGAGTACGGTGGATGTCGCAGACATTCCAATTGTAGCTCATCTAACTTAGTGGTTGTTTGTTGTGCAGTGTGTGGTCTTGCGTTGTCGTGAAGCAGCAGTGGCTTAGAGCGATTGACCAATCTCGGTTGTTTAGCAGCTAGTTCTTCCTTCATGGTTTGCAGTTGCTGACAATAAATATCTGCCGTAATCGATTGGCCAGATTTTAGAAAGCTGTAGTGAACAACACCGGCGCTAGTCCACCAAACACTCACAAGTAACTCTTTATGAGTCAATTTTCGTTTAGGGCAGGATTTGGCTGGATCTCCAGGGTTCAGCCATTGCGACGAGTGCTTCCGATTATCGTACAGTATCCACTTTTCAGCACAAGTAATAATTCTATTTAAAATCCCTTCATTATTGTATCGGTTGAGCAAAGTAACACAGCAGTCGACGCGAGTTTGCAAGTTCGATTCACTCAATTCATGAGGTACCCATCGTTCAAGTTTTTTTACTGTCCCCATTTGCTTCAAGTGAATTAATATCACTCACCTCGAAGCCTGCAGCTATCTCTGAAGTGCTTTGTGATGGATCCGCTTCCACAATAGCCTTTAATTCTTCATTTTCCACTTTGGTCTCCGGCCGTCCACGGGGTTGGTTCTGAAGGTCAAAATATCCAGAACGAAAACGTTGAAACCAAAAACGTACCGTGCTTTTTTTGCGACACCAGCGCCGTACACATCATTAATCCTTCGAGCTGTTTCTGCAGCACCGGTGCCACGGTAGAACTCGTACTCGTAAATATACCGATATTTCATGTTTTCCATTGTGCGGTAATAAGCGACGCCAAAGAAAAAAATAATGAGGAAAAACAAATGAATAACTGTTTTCAAAACTCAAATGTACCAGCTAAATGAATTTATAAATTTGAATTTGGAATTATTAACCAAAGAGGAGATATTTCAGATCAAAGTGGTCAGTACGACAAAACGCTAATTTCATATGTAAGGACCTAATATAAAGATCAATCAAGTAAAGATTGTTATAAATCAATATCTGTTAGCAATAATGTTTTAATTGCTAACAAACTATAATGTTTTTTTTTTGTCTATGTTGTTTATGACGACAATAATCGAAGAGTTATTTTCAAGATTTGCAAGAATACCAACGCTAAACTGTTAAATATGTTTCTAGTGGGATTTAATTAATAACGTCGGAAACTTAAGGTGGGCTAGTATTAGACATTGAGCAAATTTATTGATAAAAAGCAAATCTAGGATCTAAATTAGTTCGTAATATAATCACGTATATTTAAATATGTAAAGATAAATAAATCATTTATAATTTAAACTTCGTGTCTGTAATGACATTGTGGAATAAATTTAATAGCGGTTTCAGTTACAGTGTGTAAAAAAAGTATCAGACAACTGTTGCTTTCAAAGCACTTGGTTATGAAATAAAAGTAGATAAGTCGATTTCAGACATGAAATTGCAAAACGTTTAAGAAATTGATAATATAAACACCGTTAAGGGTGTCTCAACAGCACGCGCACAGTCCATTCCAACCAACAATGAATGTAACAATAAAAATAAATCCTTCCGTGACAACGACATTTTGATCAATATCCGGATGACTACAGGTGGCGGAAATCCGACAAGCGGTAAGCAAATTCTCACGATTAATATAATTTTACATCGATATTTGTAGAGCTGCAAATGTCGTAGAAGAAATGTAATTTTCGATAAGTTATGAAACCTAAAAGAAAATAGTATATTTCATGGTCACCGTTCTGGACTTTTCATTTAAGCAAATTATTTGTTTAGTTGGTGATTAATAGATAACTAGAGATGATCCGTATCTGCTATTTAAAAAGAGAGAAAAATGTTCTTGTTAAAAAAGGGGAATATCCTTGAAGATAAAAAAAAAATTCTCTTTTTAATCACTCTTAGTGAGTCTATCATCATCATCATCATCATCATTACAGTCTTTCACAAGTCTACTGATGAACATAGGCTTAACCCAATGAATGCCACAAAACACGACCCTGCGCAAACTGTATCATTTGACTTTTTTATAGGATACGAATGACAAAAGAGCACAGAGTCCACCTGATGGTAAGTGGTTGCTGTGGCCCATAGACATCTAGATCAATCCTCGATTACTGAGGTAAGGACTAAGATGTAATGCCTTGTTTTCACTAAAAAGGGTCTCCGGTTCTCTACACTCACCATACGAAGCAAGCAGTGTTAAGCTGCTATTTTACGCTGGTATTCTGTGAGAGCGTGGTCCTTCCCCGGATGAGCCGACCCATTCGTGCTACGACTACACTACTAATATAGCTGCAGCATGACTCGGCATGTAAATGCATGGCTTAACTGGTCACTCCATCTAGTGGGTTGCCGACTTTACGCTTAACGGTACTAGGCTCCCATTAGGGATGTTCCGATACCATAAAAGTATCGATACCTACTCATATCAGTAGTACTTATATCATTTTTCGATACTACTCATATAAATACTCCTAATGTATCGAATACTTACTGATATTTTTTTTAATGAAATTCTACGTGGTAGAGCCATGTTGCAGCTATATTATGGTTGTAGCACGAATGGGTCGGTTCGAACGGGGAAGGACCACGCTCTCACAGAAAACCAGCGTAAAATAGCAGCTTAACGCTGCTGTGTTTCGTATGGTGAGTGTAGAGAACCGGAGACCCTTTTTACTGGCAAAGAGGCATTCCATCTTAGTCCTCACGGGTGACAACGCATCTGCATCTTGAGTCTTTATTGAGGATAGATGTAGATGTCTATGGGTCACAGTAACCATTTACCATCAGGTGGACTGACTGCTCGTTTGTCACCCGATCCTATAAAAAAAAATTAACTTAGCAAATGTTACAAGCCCCACAACGATCTATTCTGCCCTGCTAGTTTAGATAACATCTATTAGACAACAACATACTACAGAACTAACGAACGATTATGAACCTAACCTAAGTAGCTAACCTAACGAAATTAATTAGTAAAAAGTTGAAGATCCTACCTTTCTTTTGTCCCTTTATCTGTTTTTTTTTTCCTATAATTTGCCTTTATCCACAGTAATTCCATGAGTTTTGGAATGCTTTAATAAATTTGACGTATTGCCACAATATTTCACCGATTAAAACATTGTTTACATTTTGCAGTTGTTTCGTTTGTTTTGGTGAAATATGTCCAAATTAATAACATTGGAATGATAAACCGATGACTACAATAACTTAAATTACTCGAAACGTAATCGTAAACAATCACTTGTGGAATGCTGAACACTGCTACTGCCGACTGGACCGGTGACAATTTTAGTGTAATGGCAGCCCTCTCTCTCGGTTTTGGCTAGGGTGAAGTCGGACGGGTTCGGCTCGCCGGATTCGATACCAAGTACTTTTGTTTCGATACCGAGTAAGTATCGCAAGATTGATTAGATGCTATTAGTACTTGGTATCGAATCAGAAGTATCGAGTACCTACTCGTATTTACTAGTATCGGAATGTCCCTAGCTCCCATCCGTCGTTGATTCTGTTCATCGGTCGAGTTGTTAAGGGTTGTAATGATGTTAAAGATATAAATACAATATAAAATAAAATAATGGATGAAATACGAATATACTCACGAAATGTTGTAGGCTGTCGATTGCTTTGATTGAATGTGAGTAAACGGATAGTTTTAATTTGATATTTATTTAATTTTATCTAATACTTTTATTTTTTATTTGCTTAAGTACTTATTTATTTATCCTGTATTGCAAGCACTTTCAAATAGGGATTACAAAAGGCAGACTTAATACCTTCTGGGCTTATGGTATCCCCTACCTGTCAACCCTGGTACATTACGTTACTTCCATCCTACATAATATGTATATGTAGGATGAAATATTATATTTGTTAATCTATGGTTCAGCAATGAACTTTTATTATGATATGAAAAATGAAAAGAAAATACATGAAACAGAAAATAATAAAGGTATTATTATTATAACACTAGCACAAAACATGAGAGTTACTTTTATATAAATAAATAAATATCATGGTTACAAAAAAAGAAAACAACTTTTAACTTTCTTTTAGTGTTTTAAACTTTTAAGCCCGCCACATACACACGGAATTCCGTTTCGGGATTTCGTTTCGGAATTTCGAACGGGTCAGCCACAGATATACGGAATCCCGTTTCGCCCGCAAAATTTCGAATGGAAAACTACCGTACGTGTGTGACGGGTCATAGATTTTATATGGACATTCTGCGTTCGCGATTCTGAATCAGAATATCGAAACGGAATCCCGAAACGGAATTCCGTATGAATGTGGCGGGCCTTAGTGGCTGTTTAAGAAAGAAAGGTGTGTGCGCTAGCGAGATAGAACAGCATTTAAGCATGGTTTCAGCATCACTTGGTATATTGGCGCCCCGTAATCTTTATTTGTTGGTCTGATATGAAAAAAAAATAAAGAAATCTTTATTGCATTGCACCAGTAGTATAGCGCATATTTATTGTATAATTATTATGAACTCTCAAAATTTATAATGTTTATTTTTCGTTGTAGAGTCAAGCGGCAGTTAACTGCAAAACTAATAATTATTTTTTTGAAAACACGCAAAATTGATAAAAATCTTCGACTATCTTAAATATAAATTACGCCACATTAATAGATTATAGCCAGGCGATGCCAGAGCGTTTCGCTAGTTATTGTACGCCATCCAACAGATGAGCGTGAACATGCACTAGTATATAGTATATATCTGTATTCGGCGGCGGGTCTAAATTAATTTAGATTGATTTCATGCGCACCCATAAAACAGAAACCATGTAATAAAATACAATTTCTCTTACTTCAATGCTCGTTCAATATTTGTAAGCTTCAATGAAAAATTCGACGGCTGGGAGATTTAGTGGAACAAATACGGCCATCGAATATTTTCTGTTAGACGAAATCAAAATTTTTGCTTTGTTTTTTTTTTAATTTACGAGTATTTATGTACACACAACAAGATACAGAAACAGTGAGTTTGTACAAAGGTTCTACTTATTCCATAATTTGCTGAAATATCTTCCAGTAGACCCACAAAGGAAAATATATTTAAAAAGGCAAACTTAGTGCGTACAATACTAATACTACTGTAAATAATACATACGTAAATTATATTAAATGATAGTATCAAATAAAAATAAAATAATACCATAAATAAAAATAATACATACAATAGCTACATTTAATATGCGCCCAGAAGCAATTGGAAAAGGGTACCTCGATAAGACGAGGAGGCGGTAAATGCTTTATGCATACCACGACAGCCGGTCTGTCGTGGTTATGTGGGACTCACTGTGTCTAACCTAACCGGGACCCTAAGTGATACCCACTAAAAACCGCCTGTGGGACTGACGATTGGCCGATTAAGCCACTTCGTCGGATCGGAAGCGACCCTCTTTTGGGAGAAGAGGGCGCAGGCGGCTACAAAGAGCTGCTGAGGAAGAGCCTACTTAGGCAAATTTAAGAAGAATCGGCAGTTCAGGTCGGTTGAAATTTTATTTGGCGAGTCCGAGAGAGAGTTTCTCGGCCTGCGGACTCTATAGCGAGAGGGGAGTGGGGCTGCATAAGTAGCTGCCTCACGAATAAGATGATTGGAGTGCGACTCTGAGGCTTTGAAGAAGTTCTCAGAGAGATTTTTAAGAAATTGTTGAATCGTAGGGAGCTCTAGGTCCCGATGAAGGTCGGCATTACAGACGTACTATGGTGCGTTCGCAGCTCGACGACAGAAAAGGTTTTGAACTATTTGGAGCTCATTAATAATTTTAGG